TTAACATTACTTCTATAAGACTACTTAAATTATATCAAAATACTCGTTATCAATATGATCATATTCATGTATTTCTTCTACGTTCGTACAATTATCCCCATAGCAAAATCCACACAAGCGAGAACATTTGAGGCCATGTTTGCGGCAGCTGCACGCAGCTTTACAGCCTTTTTGGCATCTACAAGATATTTTTTCTGATACTTCGGGAGGTATCATTGGCTCTGAAGAATGAGTGGGTTCCAAAGGATATTCGACTTTATGCCACCCATACTTCAAAGGATTCAAATCATTACCAAGCCACGATTGTATTTGCAAATAAGCCTGTTTGCAATGTTCGGCAGCTGCAGCTTCAGTTGGCGGCAAACTTTCTAGTTTCATTGCAGATTTGCTGGTTTTTTTATCGAAATGTACAAAACGTAACTCACTTAATGTTAATTCGTGGAATACATGCTTTTAATAATATTTATACGACTATTAATGAGTGTTATATCATCAGCAGATGAATTATAAAAAATTGATGCTAAATGTATTAAAGAATTGTGATCGAAATGCCGATAAAATTGTAGAAACAAAGCAAGGGCACGAATTAACATTAAGTGAGTTACGTTTTGTACATTTCGATAGAAAAACCAGCAAATCTGCAATGAAACTAGAAAGTTTGCCGCCAACTGAAGCTGCAGCTGCCGAACATTGCAAACAGGCTTATTTGCAAATACAATCGTGGCTTGGTAATGATTTGAATCCTTTGAAGTATGGGTGGCATAAAGTCGAAAATACTTTGGAACCCACTCATTCTTCAGAACCAATGATACCTCCCGAAGTATCAGAAAAAATATCTTGTAGATGCCAAAAAGGCTGTAAAGCTGCGTGCAGCTGCCGCAAACATGGCCTCAAATGTTCTCGCTTGTGTGGATTTTGCTATGGGGATAATTGTACGAACGTAGAAGAAATACATGAATATGATCATATTGATAACGAAGAGTATAATTTAAGTAGTTTTATAGAAGTAATGTTAAATGAAGAATGCAATGAAAACGAAATAAATGAGTCTGCGCCGAAAAGAACTAGGTACGATTAGAAAATAAGAAATCATGTAAACTATAGCCTACGTATGCATATAAATTAAAATATTGTTATTAATAATTGAAAATATATTGATTATTATTTATCCTTATCCGTATTTACGGATAGCAAGTAATAATTAATTGGAATTTATACATACACTGATATGTATGAATTCAATTAAGTTAATAATAAACGATTGGCATTAAATATAGTAATTACAACTACACCAATCTCAATAAATTTTGAAGCTACCCCAAATTAAAAAAAAAATGATCGAATTTGATGCAATAGTTCGCGAGATAAGCCTGATTTTTGCGAAGCGCGTCGATTTGAACGCGGACTTTCAGTATTTCCAAGCGCGCGAGGGAGACCCCCACCACCGTCTCCGGCTTTTGGCTTTTCTCGTGCTGGAAATGAAACGTCATTTTAATTGTTAAAAAGCCAAAATATGTAAAGCCTTGTATCGTAATGAGAAAATATAACTTAATAACGATCGAATGCCCTTGGACCGATTTGTTAATTTTCATTATTACAACAATGGCGATTTAAACAAAAAAAAAAATTATCTCGGCTCCTATTGGTCGAAAAACAATTTTTTTTTTTTCAAAATATGCACCTTGATCTCAGATATGTGAATTTCTAAAAAAGAAATCTCTATAATGTATAGGGAAGCCGCAATTCTAATTGTTTATAAAAGAAAAAAGGCGCACTTTTTTAAAGTCAAAATTTAGGGGTTGCAAATTAATTTTTTGATACGTTCCCAATCATTTATTAAAATTGACGTTTTGACAAAGAAATTGAATTGTTTTACAACTCGATATCTTCGGCCAAAAAAAATTTACAGCCCCGTACTTTGGACGTCTCTTAATTAACTAATTAGAATATATCAGTAACTAATAAAAATAAATAGTCGTGCGACGATTCATTTTTTTTAGAATCACAAGAGCTTTCTTTTAAGAGTCATAAATATTAAAAAAAGTTCTTTTTGCAATAAATATTCGATATAGTAAAAATGGCCATTTTAAGGATTTTTAGGGCTTTTTTCAATAACTAACAAACGAAAAAAATTGCACGACAGCTCAAATTGTATCTTTTGCTATTGCCTACAACTTTTATACGAAACTTTTTCAGCTAAAATGCATACCGTGGCTTGCAGATTGAAAAAACCATATTTCGTCAACTTTGAGCGCTTATAAAAAAAATCTGACAATAAATTAGGAGTTGCATTTTATCAAGAGTTCCTATTTACATTGTACTGAAGCGATTTTCGTTGAGAAAACCCATCCCGGAATTTTTGTCTGAAAATTTCTCTGTTGCCTGGACTAGAATCAGTAGTACAATCAGTATCATCGACTACACATAGTTATACGATTCAACCGACAATATCTGCAGAAGGTATATTGCTATCACCCCTTTTTATGGTATTAAAAGAAACAAACGGATAGTTTGGACCCATTGTTTCAAAAAAACTATTCAATGCACCTAATATATTTTTGCGAGCAAGTGCATCAGGAAAGCTGTCAAGTGAATTACTTCAAACATGGTTGCAACATGTATTTTTTCCTAACTATAGGAAAACAGTAGTTTTATTACTAGACTCATGGAGTGGACAGTGTGAACGAACTGTAAGAGAAGTGACACCAGCAGATACAAATTTTCGATTGATGACAATTCCTAAGGGTACGACAGGCAAAATTCAACCACTGGATGTATTCGGTTTTCGATTTTGGAAAAACTTTGTAAGAATATTTGAGGCCATTATTTTATTCGCATCAGTTTACATGAGAGGAATAATATTATAAAATTACAGTCTATCACACATAATCAATTATCTTCACCTAGATTCAAAAGCGTATTTAAATATGCTTCGTACAAAAGTGGGTACTTGGATAAAAAACCCGATTCTTTCGACAATCCTGTTGAATATTACTTCGAAATTTCAGAACAGCCTATCTGCGAGATTTGTGAGAAAATAGCAATTATAAAATGTGCATCGTGCAAGAAATTAATATGTCTACAGTATTTATTTATAGAGTATAATTATTGTTCACAATATGTACAGTGATAATGAGCGCGGATCGTCTTTATATATTCAAAAAATGTAATCTCAATATCAGATGAAATGACGAATTAATATAACGTAAATATAACATACAAATAAAATTAATTTAACGTTATCTTCTACAATTATTTCGCCTATGTCCTTTTCTTCAGAGATATTACAAATATGTCGAAATTGGGTTTATGAATAACAGAGAACCGGGTTTCGGACTAGAAAATTGGAAAGGGTAGGGTAACCAGCTCGAGGGTTGATGAAATTCGGGTGTAGGAGTTCGGGGTTAGAGCGTGGCAGGGTGACCAGCTCGATAGTTAAGGAAATTGGGGTTAAGAGTTTGGGGTTACAGCGTGGCGGAGTAACCAGCTCGAGGGTTGATGAAATTCGGATGTAGGAGTTCGGGGTTAGAGCGTGGCAGGGTAACCAGCTCGAGGTTTAAGGAAATTGGGTTCGGGGTGGTAGGAGATCTGGGTAACAAATGAATGCTCTGTTCACTCTCCAATGAAGGGGTAGCAACCCTGGTGATGGATACTGTATACTTTTGTGTTAGATTTTAAACGGAATTTCATAAACTTCATTTCTTCTGAAAAAATGTTGCAAGAAAATATTTGAAAACATAGCTTTTCTTTCAGACGACTTAGAGGGTTGCAACCCCTGTAGCTGAAATTTTTTAAAAGAATTCTTTAGAGTTTGTTTTGTCGAAAACTGTGCATTAAATACGTAAATTTCGCTATAAAATGATGTTGAGGGGTAACTTTCGGGGATAGCTTTCACCCTCTAAATAGTTTATTCGGCAGAACAAAAGTATACATGTGTTTGGCTTTCTTGAGCGTCATAGAACATGAAATAACCAGCATAATCTGCGATTAACAACTGCTTATATTGTGTTAATAACATTAAGGGGTCGTTCACCCTCGGAAAAACCCCGAAACACGTTAATTTTGTTTTATCATTTTCTACTAGAATATCATTTTTTTAATTTTTTTAACATAATTTTTTGATTTTGTAAGGAAAAATACACTAAAAAATACAGTTTTTCCTCTATACAACGTAGGGGTTGCAACCCCCGGGGACCAAATTGATGTGTGTCTGTTATTTTTTTTATAAGTATCTTGTGTTTTTTTGTTTCATAAAAAAATATTCATTACAACTAAAGATATTGCTATAGAACTGCTTTTGGGGCTGTTTTTTGGGGGTGGGTTTCATCCCTTAGATAGCTTTTTCCGCCGATAAAAAAATACGGGTCTTTTATTTTTTGACGAACTATAACATATCTTAATTGCAGAAAAATCGGAGGCGGAGGGTTGGGGTGGTTCCCTTGTTAGAGAAAAATACATATATATCAATTGTTTATGTACTTTTGTATAAAATATTATGAAATATACAATTCACAATATCTTGATTCATCTAAAATGAAGTGAAAAATTATTTATCTTATAATTAGAAATGTACGCCATTGTTATTACCGTGACATTATTAATCGTACGTAAAAAAAATTAAAATAGTTAGTTTATTAGAAAATGAAAATAGCAAAAATGAAACACTTCAAAATCGCATAAAAACATTTACACTTTTCATAAATAATTCCTTGATATAATAATAATTTTTTTATATAAAAATAAAGCTTTCTTGATGCTAGGTAATTTTTCTTTCTAAAAATGATATTTAAATTATTAAGAACGAATATTGCAGAGGCTACTGAAAAATTCTGTATTAAAGAAAAGTTACCACAAAATCCAACCCGTCTCTTAAAAAATAACTAATGATTCAACAAATTAGCATAAAAAATTATTAATTTTCTAAAATATAAGCAATTCCAAATATCAAAATAAAGCCTTAAATACACGTTTGGAACATGTAAAAATTTAATGAAACTGACCTTTCGATTATCTTGAGAATCAATATTTGCTCCTGCGTGATAGAGTAGATCTACTACATTGAGATGACCACCATTAGCTGCAAGCCAAAGAGGACTGTTTCCTTTTTTATTTTTTACTTCAACTTGAGTGCCTCTGAAAAAAACAATGGAGCATTGAAATATAAAATTATCAATATAATTTTTAATTCTCTACATATTTTGTTTAATCTGATATCATTACTGTTTTCATCGTCTCTATTTGTATCTTATTTTTTATTGATTTGCAATTTATGTTCTTCCATTCCTAAACCTATATTTTTAGTTAAATTTAGAACTAATACAGCCTCAATGTTGAGTATAGTACATAAACTTCTTTAGAACCGTAAGTGCCCACCCGAGATATAAACTTTAGCATTCTACGTGAGAATCTAAGGTTGAAGCCATAGAACCATAGTGGCTCTTCGATTTTTAATTGTGGAATTATATATTTTACTGAATTGTTATTTTGATAGAAATATAGATTTCTTTTATTAAATATTTTACAAAAATTTCATAAAAAATTACTTTTATTAACATCTCTTACCTAATGAATAAATAGCAGAAAAAAAAGAGAAAAGTTAAAACAATGGTAGTACATGCAATAACATGCAGATTGTCGGTATTTTGTTATCACAACGAGTGGATAATTATTCGTCAACAAGCACCGACATCAGAATGACACTGGTTTTTTGCCGAAAACTAAGCTTAAAAATCTTATTCAAGTTCTAAGAATTTTTGAATTAAAAAATAAAGTGTTTTCAATTATTAAAATACTTGTATTAGTACGAAAGCGAGTCAATAAGTCCTTAGAAAAAGATAGAAAAACAATTTTTTGGAATAGATTCTTTTTTATTTTTAATATAATATTCATTTAGCTCGATACACTTTTTTAGGCGTTCTTCAAGTTTTCTTAATCCAACTAAAAAAAATTATTCTGGGAATCCCTCAAAAGAGCCATTTGTTTTTGTTATGATATCGTTCGAGATGAATCGTTATCTGGCAAGTCACTTTTTTCGGTTTGGGAATGAAAAAGTCACTACGAGCTAATATTAATTACAACACCGAGCAAGCATAATATTAATTATATTCATTAATTCGTACTCGATTCCCATTTAGCAATACAGCATTGTACGCATTTAATTTATTTTTCTTTCTGTCTTTTCTCTCTATACTTTTCGTTACAGAGTTTCATACACGCGTAAGTCAATCGTTTGTATATCTGCAATCAACGTTGATCGGGTAGCAACTTACTTTTCGACATAAGTCTGCAAGGCGAATAGAAACTGAATATATTTTAGTGCGCCTCGTGTTCGTGCAACGCTTTCATGATGTTTTTGATGTTCGCTTGTCTCAGAGCAACACATTCTACCCAACAGATAAATAAGTTTACAAGCACAAGGATGTATTCAGAGCACCAGGAGCTCTGAGGGAATGGCTCAGTCACGTTGCCTGCCACTATATGCCATGGCCTCTCAAGTTTCCTATTCTACCTTGCATTGCTAGGAAATTTCACAGTTCCTGACGTAATCCTGTACGTCGACGTACATTCCGAGCTAAAAGTAGGAGCGGCTAAGTCTGATTTATGATTTCTCACAACTAGGATGTCCTGCGATTGGATTTTCATGGCATTCTCTCAAGGCATGTCTGCCCTTTTCTCTCTAGGAACCAGGAGCTTCCACGCATCGTCGTCTCCTATTACATCGAGTAAATCGTAGTCGGAGCGATAAGTGTATGCCACCCCACCCTATATGTTCCACCTAGGAGAGTCGTCGGGTTTTCCTAGACCTCCCGGATCTTCTCGATATATCACTCGTCGGCCATGTCGGCTCCTCAAGCGAGAGTGCACATGGCTGCCTCGCTCTCGTCTGCCTTATAGGCATGTGATAACACTGCGACGAGAGTACATTCCGGCGCTCCATCATCGTCTTGACGTTTCGGTATATTACCTTGAAATTGTAACCTTAGAGATCTGATGCTCAACGGACGAGGCGTCTAGTTGAATTTTTGAGCGTCATTAGCTATTTTAAGCTGTGGTAGTCCGTGACCACGAAAAATTTGTATTCTTCGAGGTAGTGTGGCAATTTTCGAATGCTCCATACCACACAAGTATTTTTACTTTACTTTTGTCAATACGCGACTAGCGTATTCGATAACGTGCAGCTGATATCCGATTCAAGTATGTATTCTCAATGGGAGCCTGGTAGATATAGGCACGACGCTGAGGACATCATTTCTTTCATATGTTGGAATGCGGATTCTTGTGCTTGCACCCATACGTACTCTTAATCTGGTGGTTCTGTAATTGAGATTAGATTTCGAAGAAAATGTCTAGACCAAGATATCATCCCCAAGAACGTGCACAGCTTATTCAGCGTCTGTGAATTAATGCATTCGATCTGGGACAAGCCGCAAGCCCTGGTAGTCGACGACGAAGCCGAGATAGCGGACTTCGGGCTGGTAAAAGTCGCATTTATCCAGGTTGATGGTAAGCTCTGACTTATGTATTTATTAAAATAGGAATTCTGGAGGTGTTTATCGAAACTAGACAATACTACGATTATATTGTCGAAGTATGCGAAAACAAATGGGCTTAATTCAGGCTCTATCACTCGATTCGTCTGTCTTTCAAAGATCGCTACGGCATATGCTAGCTCGAAGGCCATGCGTATGAACTAGAAGTGGCCGAATCGTGGCACGGTGAATGCTGCCTGTGGACGCACCGCTGGCGCTGGTGCAAGCTTAACCTGATGGAATGCACTGCTGAGGTCGATCGTGGCGATGTACATTGCGTCCGAACCTCGGTTTAACTTCCGAAAAGTGTCTTGTATGAAGGGCAAGGGATAAGCGTTCGAATCGATAACCATATTCAAGGCACGAAAGTTGATAAATAAGGGATACGACTGATCTTTTTTGTACACAATCACGATAGGACTTAACCAGTCACTGTTTGCTGGCTCGATTATGCCGTCCTTTAGCATTTGTTTTACTATGGCAATCATCTCCTGCTTGACTTTAAACGACACGAGGTAGTATCATTGTTTTATGGATCGCGTGTTACTTATATTTATTTAGTATTCGATGTCGCCCAACCTAGTCTTCCGCTGAGTCTGCTCGCTTGACAGTTGATCCACGCGTGAAGTTCTTTTCTTTTATTTGGACTTGCTATAGCAATGCCAAAGGCTGACATGCTTGCGGTCGCAACGATACTCGCCATTTCCAAGCGCACGAACGTTTGCGTTTTTTTGAACAATAATGTATCGTCATCTGGGTCCAGTGCTGCGTGAAATCGTTAGTAGAAATTTATTCCCAAGATGCATTAGTCGGGAATAATTGGCATGATCATCACGCATGTTTCAAAGTTGTTCCTCCGATTATAATTAGGAAGAGCACGAGGCCTAGTATTGGTAGCCTCTGTCCGTCTGGCAGGCCCACCATGCTGGTTTGCGACACTTGTACTTTTGTACCAAGTTCTATGACTAATGATAACGCGTTTTGGCCTATTATGGTTGCCAAGGATCTTGAGTCATACAGTTCTTGCAACTCGGTTATTGCGATCTTCAATCCTAATACGAGTACGTTTTATCTTCCGGGCTGTAACTTTCCTTATTTACGAGGTCTATTTAAAAAGTATCGCGAATTTTAAATTTCTGCGAGCTACGTAAAGTTGATTTTTTATTTTTTTGTAGCGTTATGTTGGTACTTATGTCCCTTACTTATGCTGATAAGGTCGGCCATTTTGAATGTTTCGTTGATTTTTGATAGCTGTTTTGCTTGGATGTGTTTTGGCTTGTCTTCCAATTTTGCCTATTCTAAAAAATGGATGAAAGAATCTATATCAAATATTGTGTGAAAAACAAAATAAAGTGCGCGAACGCATTCCGAATGTTGACTGTGGCATATGATGAAGCTACCTTGGACCAAAGTAATGTTTATCGGTGGTACAAAATCTTCTCAGAGGGCCGAAAAGATGTGAATGACGAACAACGTGCCGGGCGCCCGAGCACGTCAACAACAGACGAAAACATTGACAAACTGAAGAAAATAGTATGGGCAAATCGTCGAATCACCGTTAAAGAAGTTTCTGAGGATTGGCTTATGCCATTCGATTTTAACCAATAATTTGGGCATGAGTCGGGACGCCACGAAATTCGTGCCAAAACTGCTCAATTTCGACCAAAAACAGCATCGCATCAACATTGTTCAGAAGATGTTGGACTCGGTCCGTGACGACCCAAATGTGCTCCAGAGGATCATAACTTATAATGAATCATGGATATATGGTTATGATGTGGAAACCCATGGAAGCTGCCGCATGAGCCAAGACCGAAAAAAGCGGGCCAGGTTCGGTCGAACGTGAAGATTTTGCTCATAGTTTTCTTTAATTACAGGGGCATAGTGTATCATGAGTTCTTGCCACAGGGTAGTACGGTCAATAAAGAATATTACCTGCAAGTTATGCGAAATTTGCGCGAAGCAATCGGCCAGAAACGTCCGGATTTGTAGAAGAGCAAAAACTGGCTTTTACACCATGATAACACCCCTGCTCACACATCGTTGCTTGTGCGCGAATATCTGGCCAATAACAACACAGTAATGGTACGACAGCCACCGTATTCCCCAGACTTGATCCCCTGTGACATTTCCCTGTTTCCAAAACTGAAGAGGCCCATGAAACGACGACGCTATGCAACGATTGAAGAGATAAACATGGCATCGAAGGAGGAGCTGAACAAGATCATGAAAAATTATTTTTTTAAGTGCTTCGAGGATTGGAAAAAACGTTGGCACAAGTGCATTATATCCGAAGGGGATTACTTTAAAGGAGATAAAATAGATATTCATGAATAAATAAATAATTTTTTTAAACATACAAAATTCGCGATACTTTTTGAACAGACCTCGTATGTTGCGTAGTTTATACGTCTCACCTTGTAGTTTGCAGCGCGGTGTGCGGTTCATTCATGCTTAATCCATACTCTAGAATGTCGATTAGTCTGCCTAGCGCCGATTGTATTTGTTGAAAAGTTCTGTCCTTTTCGAGCTGGTCTGCCCCAAGGGCGTCGGTACAGTCTGCCGCACTTTGGCTTCCCCATCAGTCGGCTAGTATACTAAATC